CTCAAATTATGATGATGGCAGTGTCTTATTAAATAGCATTTAATGCCATAGGAACTCCAAGGATTGTTTTCAGAATTATATTTTTGTTTAATTTTTTACATAAAACAATAAGCAGGCAAAACCCATCACTGTCTCAAAGGACCCTTCAAGAAAGTGTCTAGATTGGGATCTCTGAAAACCCTCATGTGTCCTGGTAAAAGTCTTTTGAGCCTAACTAATATTTCCAGATAGATGTACCAGAAATTTCAAAGTTGCTTTTAAGTTGCATGTATCAGTCCTGAGTGTAAATACTTCACTCATGGTGGTGCTGAGATCTAACCATGTTGAAATCTTCAATCTGGTTTAATTTAAAAGGAAAGGAAATAAGATGTTTTTATACTTTCATATACCAATTTCTGCCCTGTACATTGAAATAATATTTGTGGACCGATAAGGTGGCTCAGCAGGTAAAGGTGCTTGGTGTCAAGCCAGACAAGCCTGCGTCTGACCCCCAGGCCCCATATGGTGGAATAAGAGAACCAGTCCCACAGGTAGTCCTTCCACCTCCACACTTGCTGCTTGGCACGTGGGCACACACATAAATAAATAGTAAGTTCATTCATTCATTAAAATTTGTTTTAAAAAGAAGAAATCTTTCCACTAGCCCTCTGAAGATTTATATTAACAGTCTTGACTACATCTATACTATACTCCACATCAGTACATGTTTATTGGCAGATGTGAGACCTTCCTGGATTGGAGAACTTACATTTTCCCTTTTTATGTCAATTATGTTTTTTGATTTTTTATTGACATTTGAGAATTTCATGCAATGTATTTTGATCATATTTAGACCTCCTCCCCTATCAACACCCCTCCCAATTTCATGTACTCTGTTTTACACAGACACACACACACATACAAAGCTGTGTCCCCACACCTATATCAAATCTGCCTTCCAAGGCTGAGGGATCATTGTGGAAGAGGGGGTGGAAAGGCTGTAAGAGCCAGAGGTGTGGATGACCACAAAGAAACTGTTTTCCAGACAGCTGGGCAGGTGGTCATATTAACTCACAGCAATGGTGATAGCATGCACAAGTCCCTCACAAGTTCAAGCCAGACAGAATCTCCAGCATGGGGAGGTGGTAGGAGGCCCTAGTCCTACCTGAGGGACTATTGGCAGCTCGTGGCTACTAGGAGAGGGAGAGTCAGTTTTCTGTGAGGCTGGATAGGTTGACATTTTCCTATTTTGCACTAAAATCTTTTCAATGGCTTTTTTTTCTTTAAACTTTCTTTTAACAAGAATGTATTTACATAACATATTAATAACATTAATAGAAATAAGAGGTAAAACCTGTTAGAAACTTGGAATTTTATAGGCCTTGAAGGCATAACCAACTACTTTTTTATTTTGATGATTAAAATGGAAATAGGACTCCAGAAGGAGTCATTGTGGTACTATGCATTTCCTTAGTAAAATATAGTTTGTTATTTTTATCCCAGCTGCTTGTACTATATAGGACAACTTAGGTGCTCATTTAATCAAGGAACATCAGTACTTAAACTATAAAACATCATGAATATTGTTGTTATCAGAGTGATGTCTCATATAATTTGGATAGAAAGAATTAACCCAAATCGCCATGCTTGGTATTACTGTCATTTAAATGTAGTTGGTGTTAATATTCAGCATTGTTGAAACTTATCTTATGCACTTAGCTTTTCTTATGCACTTTCTGAAAAATGATTTTTCTTTTTAAAAAACTGCTTTGAGGACTGAAGAGATGGCTTAGCAATTAAGAGCACTAGTTGCTCTTGCAGAGGTCTTGGGTTCCATTCCCAGCACCAACCTGGCAGCTAACAGCCATCTGTAACTCCAGTTCCAGGGGATCCAGTGCCCTCTTCTGACCTCCATGGACACTGCATGACATGGGTGCATTTACATACACACAGATAATACACTCATACACATAAAATTAGATTAATAAATAATGTATTTTTAAAATAAACATTTGAAAATTGCCCTGTTCTGACTTTTTTCTAGCTCTCTGGCTAGAACTTGTAATGCTAATTACTCTTGCCTTTACTTCTCCTTCACATCTCCTATTCATGATTCAAGGACTTGCTTTTCCCCTTAGAAACAAGAGTTATGCAATTTGGGAGTCTTTTAGATACACCCACTGAAGGGGTACTCCAATTGCCTCACCCTGCATCCCTGTTCAGCATGGAAGAAGCAATCTGTATCCCTATTCCCTGTTGGCAATTTCCAGGTTCAAATCCCAGCACCCACATGGCAGCTAACTGTCTATAACTCCAGTTCCAGGGGATCCAACAGCCTCTTCTGTCTTTTGTGGGCACTGCACGACACAAGTGCACTTACCTACATGCAGGCAATACACGCATGTTAGAGTAGCCAAAAGCCCCATTTAAAAAAAAAAAAATTAAAGAAGGAGGAGTACATGAAGTTATCAGAAAAAAGTGATGGGGAGATATGGGAGGAGTTGGAGGGGAGAGAGTAGGTATGGATTTGATCAGAACCACCTTATATGCATGTATGAAATTCTCAATAAATTATTTATTTTAAAAAGAAAAAAAGGAAAATAATTTATAGGCAAAAAGTAAAAGAAAAAAGAAAAAAGAATAATCCTTAAATAATGTACTAGTATTAACATTACTTTGTGTATTAATAGCTTAAAATTCTGAAAGGCAATCACACAGAAGATAGTGGGTAGAGGAAGAGATGGAGCACTAGACAAAAGGCACATACCCTGGCAGGGATTAAAGATACTCGAAGCAGCAGGTCCTGCCAGTCTGCCGTCCTCCACCCTTTACTATCCTTAGCACTGCCCTTGATGAACATTCCCTCACTGGTTGATGCGCTCTGCACTGAAGCGAAGGGTAAACTGTGTAGATAAGGTCAGTGCTTTGAACATGGGGACATGTTTCTTTTTCCCTGCCTCCTAAACACAGGTTTTTGATTCAAAAAGAAGGCATGTGAGAAAAACTAATGTCAGAAAGTATAATAGCAAGTCCTTTCTTTTAAATTAAAGATTAATTTACACCTTTGTGTCTATTTTTTCTGAACACAATGTGAGGGGGTTTTTAATCATAAAAAAGCTTAGTGGAGTTCAAATTGGAAAGTGTGCTAAGAATGTCTACATCATAATACAAGCACATCAAGCTTCTATTGTATAGATTTTGGCTTGGTTTAAAATTGAAATCTTGATAATAATATAAAAAGTCACACAAGTAAATTTTTATTTTATATTAAGTAAATAAAAGAACAATTGATTTTTATATACAGTTATCAGTCAGTAATGAAGTCAAAAGTAACTTTTGCCATTCAAGAGAGGTATTGGTGATGACGAGTTACTTGAATCTCAACACTGTCCTTGTTTTAATATTAGCAATAAATTAAACTTTCGGTGCTAGGAGAATCCACAGCAATATCCTCACATTGGGATTGGTATTGAGGTTAGAGCCAGATGTCTAAATACCATGTTATGCATGGTAAAAGTGAAAAATAAATTACCCTTTCTATATACACATAGGTCAAGGTTTTTGCTATTGTTGATTTTGTTTGATTCTTTTTCTTCAAGCAATGGTTAAAATTAGGTTTAATAGCCATTAAAATAAGTGTATTTTTTCATTCTAAATGAAATTAAGGATTGAGGAGTCACATCATTTTCAACTAGTGGGTATAATGTAATCTACTGAAAAGATGAACGTGTTCAGTCTCTGTGCTGTCTTCCTGTTCATCCACCTCAACATCAGAAAAGCAAATGAAAGAAATGTATGGTGCTTATGTAGACTTCTGTTAACTGTAGAAAATTGCTCAGAAATATAATGAAAGTGACAGTGGTCTGGAACCAATGTTTAAATATCTTGGCAGTAACAACGTTATAAGGAATATTCAGAAACAGTAGGGGCTCTTTGCTTTATCTAAATAACCTGAAGCAGCTACCACCCTAAAAGTTCCAAGTCTCAACAGTATCCCTAAATGTCCAACAGACTACATTGTTGCACAGCTGAAAACCAAGCAGAAGACTGATAGTTTATATGCTAAAAAAAACAAATTTTCAAATAAAGACATTATAAACACATACACAAAAAAAAAACTGCTTTGAAGCGGGGTGTGATGACTCACACCTATAATTGCAGTACTCGGGAGCCTGAGACAGGAGGATTGCTTTGAGTTTGAGACTAACCTGGGCTATGGGGAGACTCCATTGCCAAAAAATCAGTAGTAAATCAATAAATTCATTTAATTAAAAACTGCTTTGGGGCTGGAGAGATGGCTCAGTGGTTAAGAGCACTTACTGTTCTTGCAGAGGACCCGGGTTCTATTCCCAGCACCCACATGGCAGCTATGAACCATCTTTAACTCCAGCTCCAGGGAAATCCGAAGCCCTCTTCTGACCTCCGCGGCATAACACGACATACATGCAGGCAATACACTTGTACACATAAAATAAAAAATAATAAAATATTTTTAAAAACTGCTTTGAATCTCTGCCTACCTGCTAAGCACCTACAAGTTCTCATCATGAAAAATCCAGTGGGATCAGGTGGTCATGGCAGTGACTTGTACAGAGCTCATGGCTGACTTGTCAGTTCCTGAAATACACAATTGCAATTGTGATACACGCTAAAGTGAACATTTTTAGATTCTCTGAGAGCATATAATAGAGGAGGTGGCTCCATTGTCATTATCAGAAAAGGCCTCCCTGAGAAAGAGCCCCATCACTAAGCCAAACAGGCGGCCACACAGTGCTAAGATACACACAGGAGCTAAGGCAGACGCAGTGATACTTTTGAGGACCTTCATAGAGGGACAGTGTGCTTGCACACCGAAACGACTAGGTCAAGTAGGTGGGATAGGCATCTCATGATGATTGGCAAAGCATTTGGGCCTCTGTCATTGGGGAACCGCTGCAGGAGTCCCAGACACATAGTTGTTGGTAGCCCAAGATTAAAGCCAAGTGACCCTTCACCTTGTCGTCTCTCTGTCTCTTGGTCAGGAATACAACTGGAGAAACTATCAGCCCAGCCAGATGAGCCAAACTGAGTTGCAGATGCTGGCAAGTCTCCAGCGGCAGCAGAATGAAGACCTGGAGGACACTGAGGCTCCCCATGGCCTGAGTGCATCCCAGGTTGACAACTGTAATGTCAGCATCAGTACCAGCAGTGATGACACAACCACATGGAACTCCTGCCTGCCACCGGTGAGTCTGCACTTATCTAAAAAAGAAACAAGCCCCTTCCGAACAAAGCCCAGCCTTGCCTTGGAAAGCTAGAGCCAAAATGAGAGGCCCACCATGAGGAGTATTCTGAGCTCGTTCTGATACAGTGATTTAGACCCGGGGAAAGATAATAGGAGATGCCATTGTCTTACCCTCAGTTATCTTATATACTCTCAGAAACTGTATACATGATCATTGATTGTCTTGGTTCTTTTTCATTCTGCAGAATACACGAGAACTGAGTAATGTAGTAAACACAAAGAGCGGGGATTTGTTTTGTAGAATCCTCAAGGCTGAAAAACCCAAAGTGAGAGGACCTGCATTTGGTGAGGGCCTTCTTTCTGCTTCATCCCATGAAGGCATGCAGATCAGGGAGCCGGAAGACCATGCTAGTGGGAAAAGGCTAAATGAATCATATTATCAGGAACCCACTCCTCCAATAATGCCATGGATTCATCCATGAAAGCAGAGTCCTCACATCCTGGCCATCTCTTAAAACGAGCATCTCTCAGCACCTTCCTGTGGGCAATTAAGTTTCTGAGACAGGGACTTTGGGAGACACATCAAATCATAGCATTGTGTAAAACCATACACTGAAATTGGCTCTGAGAATCCCACTGTATTCCTGCTCATAGAACAATCCTTTGCCACATAAATAAGCCTTTATGAGTGTCAGTGAACTACCCATAAATGAATGGACAAAGGGGAAAGGACTCTAAGTAGACCGAATACTGCTCAAGTATGAGGACAGAAAAGAACTTTTATGGAAGTCACCAGATGTTTGTTGACTGACTCAACCCTGTGTCTGAGGGGCCACCACAGTTACTGCAGAGATTTTCCTTAAAGGTTTACATTCCCATGTGTTACACAGTTAAAACACACCAAGTATAACCATCAGCCTCAGTGTTCTAGTTTGTTTCTCAGTTGCTGTGACAAAGTACTCTGACCAGTACCAACTTGAGGAGGAAAGGGTTTATTTTATCTTACATCTCCCAGGTCACACATTTCATCAGGGATCCCAAGGTAGGAACTCAGGGCAGGAACCTGGAGGCAAGAGCTGGAGCACAGGCCATGGAGGAACACTGCTTACTGGCTTGCTCCCCTGGCCCCTGCTCAGCCTGCTTGCTTATGTAACACAGGCCCACCTGCCCAGGGGTGGCACCGCCCACAGTGGGCTGGGCCCTCCCACATCACACAACAATCAAGAAGATGCCCCTCAGACATGGCCCCTGGCCAGTTCAATGGAGGCAATTCCCCAATTGCCTCAACTCCCTCAACCCAGGTATGTCAAGTTGACATTAAAGCTATCCAGCACAGTGACCTAGCAGATGAGTTGGAGTAGGTCTGTCTTCCTGTTTTTAAGGTGAACAAACTAAATCCTGGGCTCAAATTTCTACACTTACTCGGTGATGGATCCCAAGCAGAGCCCTATATTTTGACTCTATTCCTTACATGGTCCTCAAGGATCTTATGACATACTTGGACAAATAAAGCATAAACATATTGTAAAATAATATAACTGGCTCATTTGTATATAACTGTATTAAGCTAGGAATGTGGCATGGTAGCCAGGTTCTTGCCTAACATATATGAAGCCCTTGGGTCCCCAGCACTGAAGAAAAATTTTTTAACTGATTTCTTCTTTATACAGACTATCTTAAATGTAATCCAATCAAAACAGCAAGAGAATGACTCTGAGTTCTGTACCAACATAGGTTTTTCTGTCTCTTGCCTGAAATAATAAAAGTTCCTCTAATAAAAAGTTAAATTAGGGGATCGAGAGATAGCTCATCAGTTAAGAGCACTGGCTGCTCTTGCAGAGGACCCTGCTTCAGTTCCCAGCACCCACATGTTAGCTCACAACCATCTGTAACTCTACCTCCAAGGGATCCAATACCCTCTTCTGGCCTCCATGGGCACCAAACATGCACATGGTGCACATACGTATGGGCAGGCAAAACACATAAAATTAAATTAATATTTAAGAGCTTAAATTAATTTTTAAAACTACATAAAGCTTAAGTTCAAATGTTGACCGAAGATACGTTTTAGATATTTAATCAATACTCACTTTTCAATCCACTTTTATCTTAAGCTAGTTTTCCCCAGGTGTCGAAGTCTCTGTAGCCCCTGCAAATCTCAGCAGCTCTGTCATCTGGTAGTCACAGCCGTTACCCATGTCCTTCCAGAGCCGTTAGACTTCCCACTTCCAGATGAGAACACAGACTTTTGAGAAGTGACTTGGGCCTTCTTCCTAACCACAGTGATGTAGCAGCTTCTTAATATGTGACTCATTATATGATTTGAATGTCGAGTGCATGCCATAGACTTCCATTGGAACTATACCGTCTGTGTTCTGGAGAGAACATGCAAACCCTTCATAGAGGAGCAATTCAAGTCCACTCCAAGGAGCTATGAAGGAAGAGCTGACACTATCGGTGTTCACTTAGTGCTTTTTAGCCCCACCTTCCCCACCCCCAGGCTTTTCTTGCCTTGGTTGTGCTTTGACTAAACAGCCATCGAATATATAGACCCCTTTAAACACTCTTGGTGCCTGACAGTATCCACCCACCCAGAAAAATGCCTCCATTCCCATTCCTCACGAGTATCTTCATACTGGAGTTAAGAGTCTAAGAGTCAGTTGCAGATTTTTGCCAGTGTATGTGTGATAGAAGTGAGACATGGTCTTTCTTATAGAATATTCCTCAGCAATCTTTTAAAACACCAGTACGAGAGAGAACATGGGCTCCTGATGGCTCATTCTCTCAGGAAGCGGCTCAGAGACTGGCATTACAGAGGGCAAGCTGAGGAATGATTATTTATGGACTGAGAAGTCTGAACTCTTGGTTGCCCTGGATACTGAGTTCTCATCGCTGTCCTGTTCTGGCAAGAACTGAACTCTCCTGCATGACAACTACTCTGCTGTAAAAGTACATGGCCAAAAATAACACCATTAGTAATGAACTTAATAACCCTCTATTCAGCCAAATGAGAAACTGAAAAGTCTTATTTTTTAGACAGAAAATATTGAAAATCCTACCTTTGGCATTCATAGGATATGTTTATTATTTCATCAAGTTCAGTCTGTTCCAATATTGGAACTACCAACAAATGGGAAATTGCATTCCTTAATGAACTCTGCATCCTGCTGCTCATATAGAGTTTAAATAGAGCAATTTACAAGCACTGTTGCTGTCTCTCTGAGAGCTTATGCTTTTCTCTTTAGAAATTGGACAGAGATGGGGAAAAGGAGAAATGAAAGAATGCCTCACTTCATCACAGGCTTATCTGCTCTTTTATCTCGGCAAGTGGTGCTGCCCTCCATGCTGGCCCTTGAGCCAGAAATGTGGAAGACATCAGCACTTCTCCCACATTCTCATCCCTCCACCCAGTTAGCTCCACATCCTGAGAATCCCCTTTGCGTCGTAATCCCCATTCCTAATACCCCAGCCTTGGCATGGTCTTGTTCATCTGAATTTCTTCAAGCACTCCCTCAACATCTTGCCTCCAGTCCAAACACAGCAGGTTAAGAGCATTTGTTCTGAAATCAAAGTGTCATGGGTCAAATTAGCCTATTACTTGGAAAAGCAATTGACACTGACTCTGAAACATAGTAAGCACTCGGTAAAAAATGTCATTGTCAGGGGTGGGCGAACTGGAGAGAGAGCTCAGCAGTACGAGCACTCGCGGCTCTTCCAGAGGACCTGCGCTCTGCCCAGCTCACAACTCTCTGTAACTGTAGCTCCAGTGCATCCAGTATCTACTTCTGGTCTCCGTGGGCACTCGCATTCACATGACATGCTCACACAGATACGCACACATACATAAAAATAAATCTTTTTTAAAATGTAGTTTCCCAGGGCTGGAGAGTTGGCTCAGTGGTTAAGAGCACTGACTGCTCTTGCAGAGGACCTGGGTTCAATTCCCAGCATCCACATGGCAGCTACGAACCATCCTTAACTCCAGTTCCAGGGGAATCCGAAGCCCTCTTCTGACCTCCGCAGCATTGTATGACATAGGTGCACTCACACGCATGCAGGTAATACACTCATACACATAAAATCAAAATAATAAAGAAAAAAATGTTTTGGTCTTTTTGAGACAGTGTCTCCCTGTATGAACTCACAGAGATCCTCCTGCCTCTGCCTCCCAAGTGCTGGGATTAAAGGCATGCGCCATCACGCCCGGCCAGAAAAAATATTTTTTTTAAATGTAGTTTCCCTTTTCTTCATTGTTACTCACTTTCTTTCTAAAGCCAGATCGGATCTGCTCTCTTCCCAATGAAAAGCCTTCAGTGACTCGCCATTGATCTTAAGTCTGGCGCAGAGAGGTCCCCCTACTCTGAGAACTGTCCCCACCTCGGTGTCATCTCTCACTTCTCTCCCGTCTTCCCTCCATGCTTTCCAACCAGCCGTAGTTCCTAAATGCCCTGTGTGAATGAATACCCTAGTCCTTGCACCCGATGACCCCTCAGACAGCTCCTGAAGTTTCTGTGATGTATTTCACCTCCTTGCCCCAGGACCAGGAAGAGCTCTGTAACTCATCCCAAACTTGCCTGTTTGTCTCACATTCATTCATTCTACACTTCTTTTAAGTACAATATGCTATAGACTAGTGTGGATGTTAGGGATAAAACTAGAGCCTTCCCCCATTACAGAGAGGAAAAACCTCTCTGTGATTGAGGGTGGTAAGTGACACTAGAACAAAGAATTATGAAGATGTAGGACTGAGCGGTTAGCTCTACCTCTGGGTACACAGGATGCTTGCACAGAGAAGGCAGCAGTGAATGCGGCATTCAAGAATGAGTTCAAGTTTACCTCACAGACAGAAAGGAAGCTGAAACCTCAAGTTCTGAAAGGAGGCGAGAGCAGAGTCTCTCCTTTAGCACGCTAGCCTGCTCACAGCGCCTCTGCTTCTCCTTCAGCCTTCAGAGGACTTGAATGTTGCCAGTCTTGCCATAGCTACCCACCCCCTCCCATCCC